GGTTCAGTGTGATAACATGATATTAAAGACCACAAGTAGAAACCCCCACCTTAAATTTATATTGTGTCAACCATGCAGCACCAAAATTAGGCCTGCAATAAAGAGGAAGGGCCTCATTTGGAGTCTCAGCAAGTGCAACTTGTGTCTGTCCTGAAAAGTGATCTTTATATTCCACCTGAAACAGTGTTGACATAAATTATTTTCGCTGCCAAAAGAATATGCTAACTCTAGTCATCATAACCATTAAACAAAAGACCATAGATAAGCTGTGTGCACACCCATGAACCATGAATTGGTTGCAAATATGCTAGCATGTTCTACATATAGATATATGTCACTTGGGCAAGAAGAGAAAACTGTGTATGTTTCTCAAACAAAAGAGACAAGCATGAGATGCAAGGAAGACCAGAAAGGATACTATTTAGTGATAATAAGTTAATAACTAACACCTAAACAGTAAAATCTATGGTTTCACAGAAACTTAAAACCATTAATACTAACAGGTTGCCACAGGTTCAAAGACCATATAAAACTTTTTCCACTGATTACCACCACTTATGTTTTGTGAGGTACTAGCTCAGAAATACAGTTTAATCCTCTTTACATTGTTTTGAATTATTGATGCATGTTGTTGGAGCAGTTTTTATTGATTAATTTTAAAGAGGATGTGAGGAGCAAATGGAGGAAAAGTTTAAGACGGTGAGTAATTTGTGAAGCTCTTTAGTGCATTCAGATGGAGGGGAATGCTTGAATTTTCCTGGGTGTTTCTCTCTTTCCTTACCAGGTGATCTAACAACAGCTTCTGTAAGGAAATTCCCATTGTTGTTATGTAGAGGAACCGAAGAGATTTAATGAACCAATTAACTTGTTTGTTAACACGATTTTCCTTTTCATAGTCATTGCTAGGGAGAAACTCTCATCTTCCTTGTTATACTTCTAGCAAATATAATCTCCGTTTTTACTTAAAAATAATAAAGTGGCAACAACTTATAATAACCTTGAATACTGAAGCCCAATAGTAATCATAGCGACAGCGAAATTTGTTTCTTTCAAAATGATGAAACACATCCTTCGCTTTATAATTTAACAATCCAAGTTCACAAATCTTAGATGACCTGATATCAACACCTGTAAAAAACGATGACATACAGTTTAGTGTGAAGCAATAACACCTTCAATTCGTCTCAAAACTTCTTAACTTTGACATTAATGAGTATTGACAATCAACAAAGATCAGATATGAAAATATAAATCAAACTAATCATTATGAAGTGCATGTGTGTAACTTTAAAGCAACATAGATAATTTACTTGCCTTTCTAAAAATTATTTATTTAAAAAATATACAAAAACATTTTTGCCATCAGCATAAAAGAAACAAAAACTACTTGTTTTCTGGACAAACTTAACAAAGGCTATTATGCACTAATACTAGAATAGAGTTTCTGAAGCAATCAAAATTTCAAAGGATAAAACTTACATGGAATACCATATATGTTGTTGGTGTTGTTCTCTTATCAGAATTGAAATTTCATCTAGGTAATATGTGTAATAAAGGATTCAATTAAATATCAACGCATATTATTGAGGTAAAACTCCAATTGAGAAAATATTTATTGTCCAGTATCTAAGTTTTGTTCAATCTCAACTTCTTGTAGTTTGGAACCTCAAGAGTATACATATTCAGCCAAAAACAGATTCACCGCTACCGAAAATATAACAGTAAAAACGCCCAACATTATTCAAGGTTTCTTACTAAATATATATGCATCTATTGTGAGCAAAAATTATACACTAATTACATAATATGTCCAAAGCATGCTAGCATTTCCCAGCTCCCACTACATTTGGGAGTTTAATATAACCAATTTGAACTGAAAATTAAGTAATCAAGCAATGTGAGCAAGTACAGTAATTAAGCTAATTTTGCCAAATCGAGCACTTAATCAACTCCCTCTACTTAATTCCTCAGCTTGTGATACCTTTTTACACTAGTTGAAATTCCAAAACGAAAAGAATTAACAAATACGGAATTAATTGAGGATGAAACTAAGGTTGGAAAATAAACTAACCAGTGGAAACGATTTTGCACTGTGATGGGAGAGAAATGGGGTTGGGGATAGAGAAATCAGTGAGCATGAGAACCAGCAAACCAACCAGAAAGGGAATCGTGAGAAACAAGAGGAAGGGGAACAGAATCGCAATAACCCATCGCACTACGACAGAAACGACGCCGTTCTTCTTGGGCGGTTCTTGTTCCTGGGAGTGGGAGTGAGAATCTGGAGGATCCATGAATCTGGAATGAGTTAGGATTAGGTATCGCCGGAATCCGAGTGGTGTTGATGCCGGTCACCGGCGGCCGGAACCATTTAACCGGTGATCGGAGGAAAAGGGTTGGGTTCGAAAGAAAACGGGGTTTGGTTTGTCACGTGATCAAGGTCAAAGAAACAACACTCGACTCGAGTATCAGTGATGTATTAAAAAAAACAGAAAAAAAAAATGGAGTTGAAAAGAAAATGAAAAGCAAAAATATTGTATATTAATATTTATTGTGTAAAAATATAATAATTTATTTATTAAATTTTTATATTTACTGCACAAATTTCTCATTCATTAGTTGTAAATCGAATTTAACATTGAATAAAAATTTAAAACATAATAAATTCATGTAATAATATATAAAGAGAAACTATTTATTTTATCTTACTTTATTTAATAATTCATTTTTTATATTAAATTTTAATAATTTAATTCTTTAACTAAAAAATTTTAATATATAAATTATATTTATATTTTTAAAAATTAAAAATCATATAATACTTTATCATATAAATTTAAATCAATATATAAAATATTTTTATAATTATTCATCAACTTGAATTAATAA